TTTAACCCAAGTACCGTGTGGGGGAAATAAACCTCTTTAGGAAAGTGTTCACACGCCTTTGACAGTGTATCAAGAATCTAGTCTTAAGGGACATTGGTATTCTCATGTTCATGCTTGGTTGTATCGGATTGGAGGAAAGGCAAGTTTGATTAACTTCACACTAGTGTAGTCTTTGTAAATTTTCTGTAATTTCTTAGACTTTGATAATACTTGATTGAAATACATTGTGTTGTATTTGATATTTACAATTATATTATTGTAATAATTTATTTTAGGTTTTGTTCCCACACAAAATTTTAAGTGTTTTTCTTGTTTGAAATCACTGTAAAACCTGACATTATGCACTTAAGGTGTTTATACACCGAGGAAGTTAAAAGATTCAATAATAAATATTGTTTGTCACTAATAAATCAAGAATTGAATTGGAAATTTGAATTGTTTGAATGATTGATGTATGATTGGTTGTATTGTTTTGCATTGAGTCATCACGAAGTTTAAACTGGTAAATCATGTAAAGTGCAAGAAGGATGAGCAATAAAACTCTGGATTTGTGCACATCTAGAGTAATTACAAACAGGGGTTGGGGTACACGGGGTATTAGCCGTGTACTTCTCAGAGGCCGTCTGATATACGAGTCTCTTGTTTTCAAATACTTTTAAAATTATAAGGAGTTAGATAAGATCTCATACTAGCTATGGCCACGGAGTCGCGCCCGTCTGCCATTAGATGTTTATTAATGTTTCCGAAAGGAGGCATAGAGTTTTCTTTTATTAATGTTCTGAAATGGAGCATAGGGGGACAACCTGGTCTATTGCTTAATCCAATCAATGAATGAAATGAATTATTTATTATTAATTAGTGCAGTGTTAGTAATGTTAACAATTGAGACATGTGCCTGAGTAAGTAATTAAATTGTGTGTGTTGATTGCTTATTAGTAGTATGCTAGGAATTCTTTGTTATATTTCGTAGCTTGTATGTACTCAGCGTTGCTGATTGCGTGCTTTTGTATGTCTTTTTCTTGGTCATGGCCTTTGCCTTTTCAATGACCCTGTAATGATCCAATTTTTACACTTGTAATATTGGGGAGCAGATTAATCACTAGTTTATACATAATCAGAATTTGCATCAAGGTGGTGGGATTTTGAGTGGAGTGTTAGATGTTTCCACTGTATATTTCGTTTCATAAGTTTGGATTTAATTAAACTCTGGTTTGATTTATTTACTACTTTTATTGGGTTTTGAATAAGGGCCTTAATGGTTCCAACTTGTAAGACTAAATTTGGTTTTGATTTTTGGTTTTGAAACTTATTGATAACTGAGTTAGTTTTTCCGCTGCTAAATTCTAAACTAGCCTTAACGTTTGAACACGTGGCGGTAGCACGTAAGTAATTCTCTTGCAGATTGTTAAAGGTATTTACAGGTTTTAAGGAGAGAATGATTGGGGTGTTACATTGCGTGAGCAGACCGGCTAGCCCAAGGGTGTGTTTCGAGTGGTCCTTGCCTCGAATTGCGTGCACATGTCTCGGGATTTTAATTCCCGATTTATGTGTGATAAAAATTAATTCTAAATTTATTTTTAGAACCAATTTAGAGCAAAAATGAAAATAAATCAAGTCCAACTTATTTAATTTCAACTTTAGTAGCGCACAAGCCTAAATTATTCAAGAACCATTCTTTAAATCAATTTAGGTCTATCTTGATGCTACAAAATTGAAGGGCTATACTCATATTAATTTATCCAAATATAAATTAATAATGAGATTTGACAAAATTAAAGAGGTTGGAAAAATAAACCCATTCATTTAATAAACTAATCCAACACTAAATTGTGTAAAATTGAAAAATTACATCTTCCAATATGAAGATTAATTAAATTTCAATAACAAGTATTGAACATTTAGGACTTTGATCAACTAAAAAATGATTAAATCCAAAAATTAGTTCAACATGGAATTTAGCAATCAAAGTTCCAACCAAATAAACAATTAAAGATTGGATCTTTAACATATGAGGGGCTTCAAAATTACAAGTTCACCATAAACATTCACACTTGAAGCAATTTATTTGCAAAAATGTGAAAATTTCAAGTTTATGTGAAAAATGAACTCACCAAATTAAGCACCAATTATGACTTAATAAACATGCTTAATAAGGTTTATAATTGCAGTAGATTAGTAATGCAACCATATATTTAATCTACCTTTAACATACCATAATTAATCAGGGTTTAAAGATTTAAAATTTTTCGTCAAAAACGAAAAACCCCTCGAAAAACATGTTTCTGGGAAGCTCTCGAAGAAGATCAAAAACGATTTAGAACATTGATTCCACCCAAAAATTACTATTTTTGAGTCGAAATCTGGGTTCGTTGGCCAAAATTAGTAAAATACGAGATTAATACTAATTAAAACGAGCTTTTAATCTAATTAGAAAGAAAAACCAGAATTTAAATCCATTTTAAATCACCTCAATTAATTATTAGTTACAATAATTAAAATGAGCGTGGCTCTGATACCACTGTCGGGTTTCGTAGCATCTAACGCTACGCGGAAGGGAAACCCGCCCAAGACCCGCCCACTAATTAAAGCAATTAAACATGCAATCACATAATTAACAACATAAGAGAGAGAAAGAGAAAATACATTCTTACCGTTGACGCGTGCTTCGCTCGATTCACGAGCTCTTACTTCAAAGCTCGAGCCACGTAAGTGCGACGGCCTCTTACGGCTTGCACCCTCGACCTGACCCGAACGGTCTTAATCCCGAAGGTAAGTCGGGACTTGATCAAATAAAACTAGAATATTACGAACTTAAAGGTTTTCTCACTAATGATGAGATGCCTTATTGAGTTCAACCCAAGTGATTTTTCCCAAACCCAAAACTTGGGTATTTATAGGGAATGGAGACTTGATCTCCCTTCTCCCATCAATGTGAGAGATTTGCATTTTCCTCTATTTTATTTTAAGCAAAAACAAAATAAAAATGCAAGGCAATCAATAAGCTCCAAGTGTCACATGGAGGGAGAGAGTAGGTGAGGACCATTCAGGGGGGAGGGGGGGGGGAACCAAATCCCCTTGCTCACCAAGCAACCCCTCAATTTCGGCCCCCACACAAAACCACAACACCTCGCCACTTGGCTGGCTGGCAGCCTGCCTTGGCTGCCAAGGCTGCCAGCTACCGCATAGCACCAAGGTTGGACATCCCAACCAGCCAGCCCGCAACACATGCATAACCAGCAAGCTAACACACGCATGCGTTGCTGCTGCTGCTTGGAGCGTGTTGTTGTGCGAGTGGCGAGTGCTAGGTGCTGCTTGCTAGCAAGCACGCACAGCCAGCTGCTGCTGCTTGGTGTTGCTACGCTAGCAAGCACGCACAACCACACACATGCACGCATGGCTTGCGATGCTGCGTGCTGTGCTTTGCGATATCGAAGCATGCTGCGGATGCTAGCGATGATGCAGCCGGTGCTGCTATGCTAGCAAGCACGCCCAGCCATAGCACACACACGCATGGCACACATCTTGCGATGCTCGTGCTATGCAATGTGCGTGTGCTAGGCAATGCTAGGCACGCTAGCACGCATGCGGTTTGGGACCTCGCCTAGCCTAGCACTCGCATGGCTAGACCAATGCGATGCTACGGCTTGGCTCGTACTTGTCGCTTGCTTGATTCCACGTCTCGCCGAATGTCAAATTCGACTCGACTTACGACGCTCGGTTTTGACGCTCTAAGCTCGATATCCGACGTCTTTGTTCGTAATACTCTAATGACTCATCAAATCCGTCGGATTGATTCGTCGTTTCGGATCGGTTATTCGATAGGGGTGCGACCCGAAGGGTTCAGTCAAGATTAAGCCGTAATATTAATTATGCATTAATATTGCTGATCAGAAGCGGCCTCACCTAGGCATTCCGATCAATTGACCTCATTGAAGAATTAGCTTTCTAATAATTTCGAACCCTCTATCGGAATAATACACATGTTGGAAGGACACCATTCCTTTCAAAGAAATTAGATGATGATTGTTGGTGAATAAAACAGAGGAAAACATCCCTATTTATAAAAATAAAAAACAATGGAAAAGATCAGAAAAAGAGTCAGAATCCGACTCAGAGTAAAACGCTTTTCATCGCTTGGCGATGGTTTCATCGTTGCGCAATGCTTTTCAAAAGATAAGATTCGTATGAAATTCGACTTCCAATCAAATTGGGTTAGTCAAATATGCGTACTTATCCTTATTTTATCAGAATTAAATCTATTAAAAACAAGTGTTTTATCCGAAGTAAAATTCTTAAACTTTATGTTTTCAAAAACAGGATAAGTTAGAACCTTCTAGAGGATTCTGGAAGCTAATAATATATCTTAAGGGATTTAGGACTCAAAACAACCTTCTAGATAATTCTAGAAGCTTATGATAAATCCTAATGATTTTAGAAATACAGTTAAGATAAATGGACACTCCACATGATCATTGGACCCGCAGATAAGGCTCAGTTTGGACCCAGTTTAGTATTTTGGCCATAACTTCCTCGTTATAACTCAGATTTGGGCTTATAATATATCGTTGGAAAACTCTTTTCAAACCCCATCCAGCTACACAATTATTGGACCCAGATTATGGACCAAAATAAACTGATTTGGACGATTTTATAAAGATAACACGAAAAGAATGATTTTAAGGACACGAAATGCATGATTTTGGCTAAAAACATTTGAAGAAAGGTTAGAAATGGTCAAGACTAAAGGGAAATTCAAGAGACTCTTCAACTCTTTGCCTAAATCGATAATTAAAGACATGAAAGGTACTTATCACTGGGTTTGGTTTTTGGGGAGACGCAATCAGGTGTCTACAATCCTAAACTTGGGCTGCCTCTCAAGAGCATTGTATTTATCGTCGTTAGCTCAACGCCTTTCCAGCATACTAGTCTTCATAATTTGGAGCTTCTAGCTCCATCACTTCAATGTTCTAGACCTGATAACCCTTATAGTACGACATGAGTCAATGACCGTTCACCTTGAACTCCTTCCCCGTGTCCTCACTACGAATCTCCACCGCACCATGGTCATACACCTTTGTAACAACAAACGACCCCACCCATTGAGAACGGAGTTTACCAGGAAAACGTTTGAGCCGAGAATGGTACAAGAGGACTTTCTGCCCCACTGTAAATGTCTTTTGTGTGATGCGCTCTTCATGAAATGCCTTAGTCTTCTCCTTATAAATTCTTGTGTTCTCAAAAGCATCATTTCGGATTTCCTCAAGTTCTTGTAACTGAAGTTTCCTTTGCTCATCTGCTGCATCCATCTCCATATTGCATTGCTTCACGGCCCAAAAGGCTTTGTGTTCCAATTCTACCGGAAGGTGACAGGGTTTGCCAAACACAAGCCTATATGGAGACATCCCAATTGGCGTCTTATATGCTGTTCTGTACGCCCACAAAGCATCATTAAGGCGGAGGCTCCAATCGTTTCTGTTTGGATTCATAGTCTTTTTGAGAATGGACTTTTCTCGATTCAAAACCTCTACTTTTCCATTTGTCTATGGGTGATATGCAGTGGACACTCGATGAAACACATTATACTTCTTCAAGAGAGCTCCTACTGTCTTATTGCAAAAGTGTGTCCCCTTGTCATTAATGATGGCTCTTCAGAATCCGTATCTAGCAAAAATATTTGATTTTAAAAATTCTGCAACAACTTTAGAATCATCCGTACGGGTGGCTATAGCTTCCACCCATTTTGAAACATAATCTACAGCTAGCAAAATGTATTGAAAACTAGAGGAAGATGGTAAAGGTCCCATGAAAGCCATACCCTTAACGTCAAAATTTTCACATATAAAAATGGGAGTTTGGGGCATTTCATTCCTAGGACCTAGTGTACCTGTCCTTTGACAACTGTCACAAGCCTTACAAATTTCATATGCATCTTTGAAAATTGATGGCCAGTAGAAACCACTCTCTAAAACCTTATGTGCGGTCCTCTTAGGTTCGAAATGTCCTCTACAAGCATAAGAATGGCAGAAAGTTAGTATAGAAATAAATTTAGAATCAGGTACGCACCTTCTGATCAGTTGATCAACACAATATTTCCAGGGATATGGGTCATCCCATATGTAGTATTTTGCTATGCTTTGCATCCGGTCCTTTTGTGCTTTGGTGTAGCTTGCTGGAAACTTCCCAAATTCTAGAAAATTCACCAAATCAACATACGACAGAGTTCCTAAACTCAAGGCATGAAGTTGCTCATCAGGGAACTCTTCATTGATTGGAGCTTTACCTTCATCAGCTTCAACAACTAACCTGCTCAAATGATCAGCAACACTATTGTCAAAACCTTTTTTATCTCTTATTTCAATATTAAATTGCTGAAGCAATAAAATCTAACGTATTAGCCTAGGTTTGGATACATCCTTTGACCATAAATATTTCAGCGATGCATGATCAGTAAACACAACAATTTTAGTACCCAATAAATAAGACCTGAATTTGTCTAAAGCAAAAACTACAGCTAAAAGTTCTTTCTCAGTAGTAGTATAATTAGCTTGAGCCGCATCCAAAGTCCTTAAGTCATAGTAAATGGCATGGGGAACTTTTCCAACTCGCTGGCCTAACACTGCCCCTACAGCATAGTTGGCCGCGTCGCACATCAGTTCGAATGGTCTATTTTAGCTTTATCGACTTTTATTCCTTCAGAAGACACAATATAGCCTAAAACTATACCTTGTTGAACCATGAAATGATATTTTTCAGGATTAAGCACAAGGTTAGTTTCAAGACAACGTTTAAGAACCAAAGTGAGGTGCTCTAAACAACTCTCAAATGAATCTCCATGTATAGTGAAATCATCCATGAAAACTTCTATAAAATTTTCAAGATAATCTGAAAAGATGCTTACCATACAACTCTGAAAGGTGTTGGAGCACTGCACAGTCCAAATGGCATACGACAATATGCAAATTCGCCGTACGGGCATGTGAACATCGTTTTTTCTTGATCCTCCGGAGCACATAACCTGAATATCCGTCAAGAAAACAGTAATAAGCATGACCAGCAAGAGGTTCTACCATTTGATCAATAAAGGGTAAGGGAAAATGATCTTTTTGAGTCATAGAATTAAGTATCCTGTAATCTACACAAACTCTCCACCCATTGTGCACTCGGGTGGGCACCATTTCTCCCTTATCGTTTTCCACCATTGTGACTCCTGACTTTTTTGGGACCACTTGTAAGGGACTAACCCAAGGGCTATCTGAGATAGGGTATATCACCCTTACTTCAAGAAGCTTCAATACTTCTTTCTTCACCACTTCCATCATAGGTGGATTAAGTCGTCACTGCACTTGTCTCACCGGTTTAGCTCCTTTTTCTAATAAGATTCTATGCTAACACATAGAGGGGCTAATCCCTTTTATATTCGCAACTGTCCACCCTAAGGCTGTTTTATGCTCCATGAGAACTTGCACAAGCTTTTGCTCTTGAGTTGGAGTTAGATTACTCGCGATTATAGCTGGAAGAGTGTCATTTTCTCCCAAAAATGCATACTTGAAGTGGTTAGGTAGTGGATTTAGTTCCACTTCAGGTGGCTGTACAATAGAAGGCAGAAGTCTGTTAGATGTAACAGGCAATTTCATTAATCGATCTGCATACCTTCCTTTCTTATTTGGAAGCACTTACAGGGAAGAGAAAGCTTCCTCGATCTCATCTTCGAGCTTAAAATGTTCCTACAGGTCAGTGTATTGCTTTTTTTCCACAGGTTAAGTCAAAACAACATTAATGCATCATGACCAGAGAGAAAAAATACTTGCTCAGTTAATGCATCAATGACATCTATACTAGACACAGATTCACAATCAGAGGGGTATCTCATGGCATCAAATAAATTAAACTGGATAACCTTCCCATTAAATTCCATGGTCAAAACCCCACTATGAACATCAATCTTAGTTCTAGATGTTTTTAGAAAAGGTCTCCCTAATAAAATTGGTGTTGCATTAGAGGATTCATCATTTGGCATATCTAACACATAACAGTCAATAGGAAACACAAGTTCATTTACTTACACTAAGACATCTAATGGCTTCCAGTAAAGGTTTGTTCACCTCTACCTTGCGAAATACATCTAGCACCTCCTTCTCCATCCCTTTCTTCTTATGCTTAGATGACAACGTACTAGAGAAAGGTACAGAAGAAGAAAAATGATCAGTTTTGAATGAAACAACATCACTTACCTTAGAGGGCTGCTCATCTTTTTCTGGAACAATAGTCTCCTGTTCCTCTTGGTGTTCTGCAAGCACTTCAGTATTTTTTGCTCGGACCTCTAATTGCTTGCCACTTCTAAGTGATATTGCACTTGCATGCTCTTTTGGGTTTCTCTCTAGTTGACTTGGCAACTTGTTAGAACTTTGAGCTTGGAGCTTTCCCACCGTGTTAGCTAACTGAGAAACTTGGTTCTCCAAGTTCTTTAGACCACTTCTTGTTTCTTGCTGAAAATGCAAAGTGTTGACAACCATTACCTTCACGATATCTTCTAGAGACATGCTATTACCAGATTATGGCTGGGAAACTTGCTGATTTTGAGGTCGCGGTTGATATTATAGTTGTTGATGAAAACCAGGTGGAGGATTAGGTGTTTGCTGTTGTTGGAAAGCTGGTGGTCTAAGGTTGGAGTTGTCTGTCTGTTGCTGAAAATTGCTGTATCTCAGGTTTGGATGATCTCTCCACCCCAGATTATAAGTCTGAGAGAATGGATCATAACGTCTTTGCTGCCCCTGAACACCACCAATGGAGTTCACTTGTTCTTCTTGCATAGTAGGGCACTATCAGTTCGGTGTCCTACTATCGAACATGTGCCATAAGCTTTTTCTTGCCCTTTTTCGGTCATCACTCGCTCCACTAAGGAAGTGAGTTTAGCTACTTGTTGCTCGAGGTTAGAACTCACCTCTTCATTAACTTGACGTACAGAAGTGGACTTGATATTTCGACCTCCTCGGTATTGAGAGTTTGCTGCCATGTTTGCTATCAGCGTCTTTGCCTCTGCGGGTGTCTTATCAACCAATGCTCCGCCACTTGAAGCATCAATTAGGTTCCGATCCGACTCCGTGAGCCCTTCATAAGAATATTGCACTAACAATTGTTCACTGATCTGATGGTTAGGACAGCTGTCACATAGCTTTTTGAAACGCTCCCGATACTCATGAAGTGTCTCTGCATCTTCTTGTCGAATCCCACATATTTCTTTTCTAATATTTGCAGCCAAAATTGCCGAAAATATTTTTCTATGAAATTTTCTTGCATCTGAGCCTAGGTTGTGATGGTTCCTGCCGAAAGTCCGAACAACCACTCCTTAGCAGCATCATTCAAGGCAAAAGGAAATGCCTTTAACTTGAGCTGGTCAAGGGTTACACCAGCAGGTTTCATCCCCGCACATGCTATGTGAAATTCCTTCAAGAATTGGTTTGCCTCATTCATGTAAACTGAACCTAAGGAACTAGTATTGCGGAAGCCTGAAAATTTGGGTAATGCTCTGATTAGTCCAGGCTTGATCTCACATTTTGTCTCGTCATCTAATATGCACAGCAAATTAGGATCAAATGTAGGAACAGCAAGCTGCTTTAAGGTACGGTCAGCCATCTCAAAGATTTCTTCAGTTTCCTCGTGAAAAGATGAACTCTCACTTAGAGGCAATGGTAACTGATGAGCTTGCTCCAGTATCTGAGCACGAGTCCTTTTACCTACGAAAAATGTAGAAAAAGGATTAATTATTAGTTCCTGGTTCCTTGCTGCAAATTCCCTTAATCTTTGATTCTTCAAATTTCTGTCACACATACACAAACAGAAACAAGATGACAAATTAGTAAGGAAAGTTAGAAAAAACACAATTATTAATGTAATAAAACGCCAATTCCCCGGCAACGGCGCCAAAATTTGATTCGTTCATCTACCTCCTCTGTTCACTCAATATCGCTACTCTCTGCCCAAAATTCAGATTATATTCCTCAATTTCCTGAAGAACCTCACCTCCAAATTCCCCCAAAAATAAGGATCTAAATTATCCACAAAGAACTCCCCTAACAGAAAGATAAGAAGCCTATTATTCATCTCAGTTGCTCCGAGTATTTCGCTCCCATCCTCAGCTGATTCCATCTCTATCTTTTCTTGCTTGACAATTTGATTTCCCGCAAAAATCTCTCAAGGGTTTATTTGTGCCTTACCCGCAATATGCAGTGAGAGGAGTTCTTAGTTGCTCTTTTTTTTTCTTTTGTTTTGGCTGAGTAACTAGTTGGTGTACTTCATGAGTTCATGGTCCACTTAGCTATTTTCTATGAAACATTATTGGGTTGACACACATGTGAGTCGATTGGGCTTGTGAGCTTTTCTTCGTTTAATCTGGGTGGTAATAAAATATCACTTTGATATTGTAATCTTCCTTCCTACAAACAAATAGTAGTAAATCGTGTCTTGGGAAGAAGATTAATTATAATACACTTAAATCATTGATTGTCAATATAAAATCAAGAGTTTAATATACATAAATAATATACTTTACGACCCTATCAGCCATATAAGTATAAAATGCTTCTTTGGAACCTGATCAGAGATAGAATCAGGTTTTTTGATCCTACTTGTATGAGATGTGAGGATCCTCTAGAAGACATCACTCATATCTTTAGGGACTGTCCAAACTCTTCTTCTTTTTGGTCTCTGGTTTTTAACAAGTTTTCTTATTTAAAGATTGATTTAATTGCATCGGTTTTATAACACCAATCTCTCAGATTGGTTGGCTTTTAACTTTTCAAATATTTCTACCTGGAAACCCATTTTTGCAGTTGCTATTTGGCATGCTAGAAATGTTGCAGTCTTTGAACAAAAAATGATATTTGTTCAGTCAACTTTTAACAAGTTCATTGTTGATTATCATTTCTCTTTGAAATTAAACTAGGGAACTTTGGATAGACCATCTTCTTCTACTAAACAAGTTTTTAGAATGTGGGCTCCTCCTCAAAAAGGCTATTACAAGCTGAACACAGATGGTTCATGGATGAGCATTGTCAATGCAGGTGGGGGTGGGGTTATCAGGTGTGACAAAGGAATCTAGGTTACCGGTTTTGCTATGAAATTCAATGCAATAATGTCTGCAGCTTCTGCTGAACTCTTGGCAATCAAGATACGACTGCTAACTGGCCGGAACAAGAAAATCAAGTTTCAGGAACTTGAAACAGATGTTGAAGCCTTGACTAAAATGCTGAAAGACCCAAAATTATGTGAATATCATGATTTGTGCAATGTGATAAGGGAAGTTGTTGCTCTTTTGGAGAGAGACTGGACTATTATAGTCTTTCATGCAAACAGAACTGTAAACTTTGTTGTTGACAGGCTTGCAACAATGGGAAGAACCAAGATCAAGACTGGTGAAAGGGTTTCCTTCAAATATCCTCCTGCTGAAATCTTTGAGACTTATGCCTCTGAGATTCTGGATGTGCGTGCACCTTTGAGACTTATGCCTTTGAGATTCTGGATGTGCCTGCACCTTTAGTACTGTATTACTTTTGCTTACCTAGCTATGACAAATTAGGGTGAAAGGGTGAAAGAGGTAATGGGATAGCTTGTATATAATTGATCATGAGATAGAGTATTTATAGAAAACTTAAGCTCATAAGATAGAAAACAATCTTCCTAAAAGATATACTAGTCTAACCATATATCTTAAAGATATATTCTCTAAAAAATATCTTAACATAAAATAAACCTAAATATATTATTCTCTTAATGATATCTACGGAAAATATATCACACATATATTTTCCGATATCTCATATCTCTAACAAGCTAAGGCCCTGTTCTTTTGAGCTTCTAGGCAGAGCAGAGCAGAGCAAAGCAGTTTTAGCAGAGTAGATTTCAATAGAGCAGATCAGATTTCAGCAGAGCAGAGCAGAGCAGAGCAGGGCAGAGCAGATTTCAACAAAGCATAGTAGGGCAGAGCAGATTTCAGCATTATTATACTGCTGCTGCTGCTGCTGCTGCTGCTGCTGCTGCTGCTGCTGCTGCTGCTGCTGCTGCTGCTGCTACTGCTGCTGCTGCTACTACTACTACTACTACTACTACTACTACTACTACTACTACTACTACTACTACTACTACTACTACTACTACTACTACTACTACTACTACTACTACTACTACTACTACTACTACTAGTTTTAACATTATTATTATTATTATGTTATGAAATATTTATGGATGCCGTTTAGGGTTTAGTGTTCTCTAAGAAAACCCTAGCTATTGTATATGTATATATATACCCCTTACACAATGGAATAATATACAGATCTATTCTCTCCCCAATTTCTCTCATTTTCCTTTTATTTCATAAGACGTTATCAGCACCAAAGCTCTAAACCACCGATTAAAATTAGAATTCAATTACAACCAAAGGTAGTTATCATATTGTTACAAGGAATTTAGCATCAAATTACTGTTAAAATTAAGCTAAGAAAAGCCAGTTAAAATCCCCAAATTTCCTCCCTACTTTGTCGCCCAACACCCCGACATCGCCGCCTCTACACCGCACCACCGCCCTTCCAAGCCGGCGGCTAGACTGCAGCCCCTCTTCTTTTCTTATTTCCTCTGCTTCTCTTTGTGCCTTCCCCTATTAATAAACCAAAGTTTATTTTGGTCTTTGATTATTTTCTTAGTTTTCTTGAAACCATTGATCCTCTAAAGTTGATACATCTAATTTCTTTATTTCTTTTGACCCATAAAGAGAAAGTTATCATAAGATTGCTATTAAAATATGGGTATACGAATAGCAAGAAACACCCTACAAATTAATGGATTACGAATTTCTAGCGGTGCTATTTGAGTTTTGATAGGCGGTATATAGCTCGTGCAATGATGATCCATGAAACCATTGTGATTAGCAGGGAAGTTCTTATTTCATTTATTATATTGAATTTTATTTTTACAAAATATACTTATTATGGCCCTTTTAATACATGTTATATATTTACGGCGTATTGTTTTGTTATGTTATGTGGGGTTAATCTGATTATGGGTTTGATTATAATTAAAAGTTAGTGTAACTTGATTAGGGGATTTTGCTCCCACCAATCAGAATGCGCCACGTGGACCAATCAGGTCCTGCCAAGTGTCCCCCAGTTGGAACTGGCAGGGCTTGCCACGTGGCACGCGCTTATTCGTCCACCTTGGACCTATTATGTCATGACATGTGGCATACTCCATGCCTAATGGAGAAACCGGCCACCCAGGCCCAACTTCCGAGGGAAGCCCAATCAGCCCTAGGTTAACCTAAACCTAGGATGGGCACGTTTCCCAAGGTTATAAATACCTCCCTTAATCCTCATTAAGGGGGATAACAAAAACATAACGAAAAAACACATTAATTACACACAGTAATAACCGGCTGATCTCGCTAACAAAGCAGATTACCTACATTAATCACTCTCACCTAGAGAGACCCAATCACTTTAATTTCCGCATTAATTACTCCTTAATCAAGTACTAACTTGACCGTTGGAGGCGGAGCTCCCAGGAGTCTCCGTTATTTTGCAGGTACAGGCGTCCGGTTCCAGTCTCGGAATTGTAACTCTCCCGCAGGACATCAGAAAACCCCGAAACATTTGGCGCCGTCTGTGGGGAGAGTACTTCTGAGATGGCATCCAAGTCTGTACCGACTCCTGAAGAGAGGCGTCCCCTAGACGACCCTCAAGTTCAGTCGGACCATGATACCGAGAGTGAATTTGAAGTTGAAGCTCACACAGCTTCAGACGGGACCCTAAGGGCCCGACGTACCCGTCATACCGAAAGGAGGGAACGGGAACATCTTCAAACAGGAAGCGAGCCAGCAGACGCACCGCCTGTTCGGCAACAGCCGACTGATGGGTCTGCTCCCATCACAAGGAACGAACTCATGACCTTCATGAGGGACTTCAAGGGAGAGATTCAAGAGTTGATCAACAAGAAGCCGCCTGCTCCAGTCAAGGAGCAGTCGGCTAAGAAACCCTCCACTTCACTGAAGAGGAAGCCAGTTCAAGGGCGAGAGGCGACTCCTCATCCTAAATCTAGGAAGCGGGAGCCACCTGCCCTTGATTTCACAAAATTCCGTGTTCCTACAGGAAATAGGAAACCCGTTCGTCATATTCAGGCGGACGGGTCGAAGCAAACATTCACAGACGCTCGGCTACTGCTAGAGCAGAAGAAGAGTGACCGATTGTCAGAGTCGGCCTCTACTTCAAACTTTCAAGATAGTCTGCGAAATGCCTCGTTGAGGCATACTCAGTCGTATCATGAGAGTCAGTAAGGCGGCACCTCCCGTCAGTCCGGCTTTCATAGCGACCAGGCGGTACCAAATTTACCATTTGTGCCGCAACAACAGTATTTTTTGCAGCCACCTCCGTTTGGTGGACCTGCAGCAAAAAACGTCCAACCTATGGACTGGCAGCTACGGTTGCTTAAACTTGGTGAACAGCCGTCGGCCTTCTCCAAGGAAATTACTGAAGCCGCTCAGCCGGCCAAAGTGAAAAATGTACTAGTAGTCGCCTATGACGGCACTACTAACCCAGAAGACCATCTGATGGCATTCACCAACCTGATGTACCTTCAAGGGTTGGATGATCCCACTTGGTGCAAGTGTTTCCCAGCGACTCTCAAAGGAATCGCACAACAATGGTTCGGCAACCTGCCGACTGGTTGTGTAAATAGCTTCAGGACGCTTGCTTACTTATTCACCTCCAACTTCGCCATGAACATCCCTGCGAAGAAAACGACCCTTGATTTAGGAACAATTCAGCAGGGCGAGAAGGAGGGGCTTCGTTCTTACATCAGGCGGTTTAACCTGATGAGAATACAGATTCAAGGGTTACCGGATGAGGTAGCCTATACTGACTTTTTCAGAGGTCTCAAAGACGGGTCTACCTTCAAATTTGATTTGGTTCGAAAGAGGGTGGCGACTCTTCAAGAGGCCTTGATTGAAGTAGAAGCCTATATACAGGCGACTGATCTTTGTACGGTAAAACAGTCGGACGGGAAAAGGTTCGACAAAAGAGAAGGACGACAGAAACAGTCGTCAAACAAAGATGAGAAAAGAAAAGAGGTCTGGGCGGCTGATTCCTCTAAACAGCCGGCCCAGAAAAAGAAAAAAGAATTCAAACCATACTCCCCAAAGTATGCGTTTAACAAGGATAACCAGTTTATCCTAAAAGAAATCAAGGGACGGATCTCAATTGAGAAGCCGGTCCCCATGAAGGGTTCTGCAAACAACCGGAACCAAGATAAATTCTGTGCTTATCATGATGATGTTGGTCATCACACCAATGACTGCATCAGTCTCATGCGGTATCTGGACCGCCTGGCTGAGCAAGGTGATCTTGCCACTTATGTCAAGAAATCTACGGGGAACACTTCCTCAAAAAAGCAGTCGGCCAAAAAGAATCAACAGGCCGACAGCTCTGATACAGATGATGCAGTCGTCTACACCATTGCAGGCGGCTTCTTAGGAGGCGGCCCCACTATTAGGGGCAACAAAGACAATATCAGGCGGTTAGATGTAAATTCCGTTCACCAAGAACGGCCGTCCAAATATTCATTTCCTGAGATTGTCATCACTGAAGAAGATCTAGGAGGGGTAAGAGGGCCGCATGACGACCCTATCGTCATTGAATGTAAAGTGGCCAACCAGAGAGTTGGCCGAATCCTCATAGATACCGGAAGCTCCTCAGATCTCATCAGTAGCAAATGTCTGTCGAAACTAAAATATCAGACTGATTGCATACATCCGGCCTCCCACCCTTTAGTAGGGTTTGGAGGAGGAGTCGTCCACCCACTGGGACGAGTGGATTTACCCATCCGCCTGGGCGAAAAAGGGGAAGGACGACACATGGTAGTCCGGTTCTTGGTAGTAGAAGAACTCTCGGCCTACAACATGATTCTGGGTCGACCAACCCTGAATAATTCCAAGGCTGTTATAATCCCATCTCTTATGTTGCTTAAGTTTGAGAGGGATAATGGAACAGTCGGCTCCCTAAGGGGAGATCAGAGGATGGCCCGAGAGTGCTATCTCTCGGATATCAAGCCCACTGTTATGGCCACTGGGTCAAGCGGTGAAAAAACAGACCTTGGCAATGTCAAGGACAGTGCGCCTGTTCAAGAAGCAGGCGGCAAGAAGAGAAAGGCATCCCAGACAGGGGCCGCAAGAAAAGAAAGAAAATAGCAATCAGTGGCAGAGGAGCGGTCGGATGAGTTCCGCCCTCAGCCGGCTGGTGAGCATGCGGACCTGATCTTAGACGACTCACGTCCTGACCGAACAGTCAAAGTTGGGACGACTGCTCTGGGAGACCTTGGTGACGACTTTCACAAACTATTGAAAGAATACAAGGACATCTTTGCATTCGAAGTCCATGAAATGCCAGGCATTAGTCCTGATCTGGCGGTACATAAACTGGTCGTGGATCCGAAAAAGAAGCCGGTACGGCAAAAGAAGCGGAACCATGGCGAAGAAAGAAGTCAGGCGGCAGCCGC